TTTTTTTCCCCAAAAATTTGGGATTTTTTTTCCCAAATATTGGGATTTTTTTCCCAAAAAAAAAGTGATTTTTTTTTTCCCAAAAAGAGTGATTTTTTTCCGCAAAAAATGTGATTTTTCCCCCAAAAAACCCGATTTTTTCCCCCGAAATTTGGGATTTTTTTCCCAAACTGTGTGAGAATCCCCCCAGATTTGCGGGACTTGCCCCGGAAGGTTCCGGAAGGTTCCGGCATTGCCGCACCTGGTTCATCTTCTCCTTGAGCTCCCTCATCTCGCGCTCGCGGCCCTGGATCACGCGCTTGATGTCGTTGATGCGCGGCCCGAAGTTGGCCAGCTCGCTCTCCAGCTTGGACTTCTCCTGGGGAACGGGGAAACGCGGGAATATTGGGGTGAGAATGGGGGAAACGGGGAAATGGGGAAAATTGGGGTGAAAATGGGGGAAAAATTGGGGGAAAAATGGGGAAAATGGGGAAAAATTGGGAAAAAATTGGGGAAAATGGGGCGGGAATGGGGGGGAAATTGGGGGGAAATGGGGAAAATGGGAAAAAATGGGAAAAAATGAGGGAAATAATGGGAGAAAATGGGAGAAAAATGGGGGAAATGGTGAGAAAATGGGAAAATGGGAAAAAAAGGGGGGGGGAAACGGGGAAAAACGGGGAAAAAACGGGATAAAAATGGGGAAAAATGGGAAAAAAGGGGGGAAATGGGAGTTTGGGGGTGGGGAGGGGGCGCAGCTCGGCCTCCTTGCGCTTGGCCTTCATCTGCTCCTGGGGATGGGGGAGAAACGGGATGAAAATGGGGGAAATGGGGAAAAATGGGGGAAAATGGGGAAAAACGGAGAAAAAACGGGATAAAAATGGGGAAAAATGGGAAAAAAATGGGGAAAAACGGGGAAAAAATGGGAAATAATGGGGGGAAATGGGAGTTTGAGGGTGGGGAGGGGGCGCAGCTCGGCCTCGCTGAGCCTGGCCTTCATCTGCTCCTGGGGGGGGGAAAGGGGAAATTTGGGAAAATCTGGGAGAAAATGGGAATTTGGGGAAAGAAATGGGGAAAAAGGGGAAAAAACGGGGAAAGAAATGGGAATTTGGGGGGGAAAAAGAGAGAGAAATGGGGGGAAAGGGGGAAAAAAACTGGAAAGAAGTGGGAAAATAAATGGGGAAAATGTGGAAAAAACAGGGAAAGAAATGGGGGAAAATGGGAAAAAAAAACCAGGGAAAGAAATGGAAAAAATGAGGAAAAAATGGGAAAAGATGGGGACAAAATTGGAATTTGGGGGGGAAAGGGAGGGAAATGGGGGAAAATGGGAAAAGATATGAGGAAAAAATGAAAAAACTGGGGAAGAAACGAGAAAAAATGGGGAAAGAAATGGGGAAAGAAATGGGAATTTGGGGAAAAGATGGGGGAAAAAGGGGGGAAAATGGGAAAAAATCAGGGAAATAAATGGGAATTTTGGGAAAAAACGGGGAATGAAATAGAGGGAGAATGGGAAAAAACAAGGAAAGAAATGGGAAAAAAGGGAAGGAAACGGAGAAATGGGGGAAAATTGGGAAAAAATGGGAATTTTGGGGGAAAAACGGGGAAAAATGGGAGAGAAATGGGGGGAAGGGGAAAATGAAGGGAACTCGGGACAATCTGGGGTCGGTTTCCGGTTTTTGGGGTCGGTTTTGAGGTTTAGGCTCAGTTTTAGGCTCAGTTTTGGGGTCCCACCCTGAGCTCCTCTGTCAGCCGCTCCTTCTTGAGTCTGGGGTCACTTTGGGGTTTTGGGAGTTCTGTTTGGGGTTTCTGGGGTTGCTTTGGGGTTTTTAGGCTCAGCTTTGGGTTTTAGGCTCAGGTCTGGGATTTTAGGCTCACTTTTAGGCTCAGTTTTAGGCTCAGTTTGGGGCCCCACCCTGAGCTCCTCTCTCAGCTGCTCCTTCTTCTCCTTGAGCTTGTCTGGGGTCACTTTGGGATTTCTGGGGTTCCTTTGGGGTTTTTAGGCTCAGCTTTGCGTTTCAGGCTCAGGTCTGGGATTTTAGGCTTAGTTTAGGGTCAGCTTTGGGGTTTTGGGGTCAGTTTTGGGGTCCCACCTTGAGCTCCTCAGTGACCTGCTCCTTCTTCTCCTTGAGCTTGTCTGGGGTCATTTTGGGGTTTTCAAGCTCAGCTTTGGGTTTTAGGCTCAGCTTTGGGGTTTTAGGTTCAGGTTTGGGTTTTAGGCTCAGTTTAAGCTCAGGTTTGGGTTTTAGGGTCAGTTTAAGCTCAGTTTAAGCCCAGGTCTGGGTTTTAGGCTCAGTTAAAGGCTCAGTTTTAGGCTCAGTTCAGGGTCCCACCTTGAGCTCCTCGGTCAGCCGCTCCTTCTTCTCCTTGAGCTTGTCTGGGCTCATTTTGGGCTCAGTTTTGGGTTTTAAGCTCAGTTTTAGGCTCAGGTTTGGGTTTTAGGCTCAGTTTGGGCTCAGTTTAAGCCCAGGTCTGGGTTTTAGGCCCAGGTTTGGGTTTTAGGCTCAGTTTTAGGCTCAGTTTTAGGCTGAGTTCGGGGTCCCACCTTGAGCTCCTCGGTCAGCCGCTCCTTCTTCTCCTTGAGCTTGTCCACGGCCTTCTCGTCCCAGCGCCGCGCTTTGGCCTTCAGGTCGCTGGCGCCGCCCGAGATCACGCCCGACTTCTGGAACAGCGTCCCGTCCAGGGCCACCGTCTGGGGGACATCGGGGACATCAATGGGGACATTGGGGACACCCAGAGCCACCCTTGGGCTTCTGGAACAGCGTCCCGTCCAGGGCCACCGTCTGGGGGACATTGGGGACATCAACGGGGACATTGGGGACACATTGGGGACATCATGGGGACATTGGGGACACCCAGAGCCACCCTTGGGCTTCTGGAACAGTGTCCCGTCCAGGGCCACCGTCTGAGGGACATCGGGGACATTGGGGACACTGGGGCTGCTTTGGGGTGATGCGGGCCGTTTTTAGGGTACTTTCGAGGTGGTTTTGGGGTATTTTGGGGTGGTTTGGGCCGTTTTAAGGGTGTTTTTGGGGTGGTTTTGAGGGTATTTTGGGCTGAGTTTTAGGGTATTTTGGGGTGATTTTTAGGGTATTTTTGGGGTGATTTTCAGGATATTTTTGGGGTGATTTTGGCCATTTTAAGGATATTTTTGGGGGCTGTCTGGGGGGGGTTTAGGGACTTTTTGGGTGGATTTTCAGGGTATTTTTGGGGTGGTTTTGGCCGTTTTTAAGGTGTTTTTGGGTCGGTTTTTAGGGTATTTTTGGGCTGTTTTTAGGGTATTTCTGGGGTGATTTTGGCTGGTTTTGGGGTATTTTGGGGTGATTTTGGCCATTTTAAGGGTATTTCTGGGGGCTGTTTGGGCTGGTTTAGGGTATTTTTGGGTTGGTTTAGGGTATTTTTGGGTTGGTTTTTGGGTATTTTGGGGTGATTTTGGGGCACCTTGTGGCGCTGGAGGCCACCGAAGGCAATGGGGCTCCTTTAGAGTATTTTTGGGCTAATTTAGGGTATTTTTGGACTGGTTTTGAGTATTTTTGGGCTGGTTTAGGGTATTTTTGGACTGGTTTTGAGTATTTTTGGGCTGGTTTAGGGTATTTTTGGGCTGGTTTTGAGTATTTTTGGGTGATTTGGGCCTTTTTAGGGCACCCTGTGGCGCTGGTTGCCCCCAAAGGCAATGGGTCAGTTTCAGGGTATTTTTGGACTGGTTTTTGGGTATTTCAGGGTAATTTTGGCCGTTTTTGGGGCACCTTGTGGCGCTGGTGGCCGCCGAAGGCGATGGGTCAGTTTCGGGGTATTTTTGGGCTGGTTCAGGGTAATTTTGGCCGGTTTTGGGGCACCTTGTGGCGCTGGTGGCCCCCAAAGGCGATGGGTCAGTTTCGGGGTATTTTTGGGCTGGTTTTTGGGCTGGTTCAGGGTAATTTTGGCCGGTTTTGGGGCACCTTGTGGCGCTGGTGGCCGCCGAAGGCGATCCTGCGCGCGTCCTCGACGTTGTCGCACACCAGCGCGTTGCCGCAGGCGAACTGCAGCGCCTTCTTGATGTGCGGCGGCTCGTAGCGGATCACGTCGATCACCAGCTTGGCCCCCCGCAGCTCCCGCAGCTTCTCGTCCGTGGGCTTCACCTGATCCCAAAAAACGGGGGTGGAAAACCCCAAAAATGGGGTCAGGAACCCAAATTCAGGTGAGGATCCCAAAAATTTGGGGTGAAAAACCTCAAAAATGGGGTTGAAACTGATCCTGCGGCTTCTTGTTCTTGGGCTTCACCTGAATCCCAAAAATCGGGGGTCAAAACCCCAAAAATGGGGTCAGAGTCCAAAATTGGGGTCAGAACCCCAAAACTGGGGGCTTAAAACCCCAAAAATGGGGTCAGGAACTCAAATTCAGGTGAGGATCCCAAAATCAGGGCTGAAAAGCCCCAAAAATGGGGTTAAAACCCATCCCTGCAGCTCCTCGTCTTTTGCTTTCACCTAAACCCCAAAAATGGGGTCAGGATCTCAATTTCAGGTTAGAATCCCAAAAATTTGGGGTTAAAAACCTCAAAAATGGGGTTAAAACCCATCCCTGCAGCTCCTCGTCTTTTGCTTTCACCTAAACCCCAAAAATGGGGTCAGGATCTCAAATCGGGGTCAGAACCCCAAAATTTGAGGTGAAAACCCCAAAATCAGGGGTGAAAAACCCCAAAAATCAGGGGTTAAACCCGAGCCCAAAGCTTCTTGTCGGTGGGTTTCACCTGAAACCCCAAATCCCAATTTAGGGTTTCCTCTGACCCCAAACCCCTTTTAGGGTTTTTTCTCCTGCCCTTTTGGGGTCTGACCTCGAGGTAGCCGAGGGGCAGGAAGGTCTCAGTTACCCAAACCCCACTATAGGGTTTTCTCTGCCCCCAAACCCTATTTTAGGATTTTCAATGACCCTAAAGCTGGTTTTAGGGTTTTCTCTGCCCCCAAACCCCTTTTAGGGTTTCCCCCACCCTTTTGGGGTCAGACCTCGAGGTAGTTGAGGGGCAGGAAGGTCTCAGTTACCCAAACCCCACTATAGGGTTTTCTCTGCCCCCAAACCCCTTTTAGGGTTTTCCCCACCCTTCTGGGGTCAGACCTCGAGGTAGTCGAGGGGCAGGAAGGTCTCGGGCTCGCCGCGCTGCTCCTTGATGTACTGGATGCAATCCCTGCCCGTCTTCTCCGAGTCCACGATGATGGCGTCCATGTTCTTGCCGAGCACCTTGGTCACGGCGATCTGGTACTTCTTCTGCGTGGGCTGGCACAGGTCAATGAGGCGGCCATACTGCAATGGGGTCAGGTATGGGGTCAGTTATGGGGTCAGGTGTGGGGTATGGGGTCAGGGACACGGGGCAATAGCAGCTATGGGGTCAGGGACACTGGAAATGGGGTTGGGTTCTTCTGCGTGGGCTGGCACAGGTCAATCAGGCGGCCATACTGCAATGGGATCAGGTATGGGGTCACTTATGGGGTCAGGTATGGGGTCAGTTATGGGGTCAGGTGTAGGGTATGGGGTCAGGTGTGGGGTATGGGGTCAGGGACACGGGGCAATAGCAGCTATGGGGTCAGGGACACTGGAAATGGGGTTGGGTTCTTCTGCGTGGGCTGGCACAGGTCAATCAGGCGGCCATACTGCAATGGGATCAGGTATGGGGTCACTTATGGGGTCAGGTATGGGTTATGGGGTCACTTATAGGGTACGGGGTCAGTTATGGGGTCAGTTATGGGGTATGGGGTCAGTTATGGGGTCAGTTATGGGGTTTGGGGTTTTTATAGGGTCAGGTGTGGGGTATGGGGTCAGGGACACGGGGCAATAGCAGCTATGGGGTCAGGGATATTGGGGCAATTTTTAGGGGGTTTTGGGTCAGTTTTGGTGCAGTTTCTGGGCAGTTTTGGGTCAGTTTTTGGGGAGTTCTGGGTCAGTTTTGGGTCCGTTCCTCATCAGTTTTGAGTCAGTTTTTAAGGAGTTCTGGATCAGTTTTTGGTGCAATTTTGGGTCACTTTCTGGGGTGCTTTGGGTCAGTTTTTGGGGGTGTTTTGGGTCTGTTCCTGGTTAGTTTTTGGTGCAGTTCTGGTCAGTTCTGGGTCAGTTTTTGGTCAGTTTTTGGAGCAGTTCTGGGTCACTTTCTGGGGGTGTTTTGGGTCAGTTCTGGGTCAGTTCCTGGTCAGTTTTGGGTCAGTTTTTGGTGCAGTTTTGGGTCAGTTCCTGGTCAGTTTTGGTGCAGTTCTGGGTCAGTTCTTGGTCAGTTCCTGGTCAGTTCTTGGTCAGTTCTTGGGGGTCAGTTCCTGGTCAGTTCTGGGTCAGTTCCTGGTCAGTTCCTGGTCAGTTCTGGGTCAGTTTCTGGGCAGTTTCTGGTCAGATTTTGGTGCAGTTTTGGGTCAGTTTCTGGTCAGTTCTGGGTCAGTCCCTGGTCAGTTTTGGTGCAGTTCTGGGTCAGTTCCTGGTCAGTTCCTGGTCAGTTCTGGGTCAGTTCCTGGTCAGTTTTGGTGCAGTTCTGGGTCAGTTCCTGGTCAGTTCTGGGTCAGTTCCTGGTCAGTTCTGGGTCAGTTCCTGGTCAGTTCTGGGTCAGTTTCTGGTCAGTTCTGGGTCAGTTCCGGGTCAGTTCTGGGTCAGTTTTGGTGCAGTTCTGGGTCAGTTTTGGTGCAGTTCTGGGTCAGTTTTTGGTGCAGTTCTGGGTCAGTTCCTGGTCAGTTCTGGGTCAGTCCCTGGTCAGTTTTGGTGCAGTTCTGGGTCAGTTCCTGGTCAGTTCCTGGTCAGTTCTGGGTCAGTCCCTGGTCAGTTTAGGTGCAGTTCTGGGTCAGTTCCCGGGCTCCCCTCACCACGGAGCCGGGGTACAGGCGTTTGATGCTGTCCATGATCTCGGCCTTGCGCTGCTGCCGGCTGCTCTCCTGGCGGTCGATGCGAGCGTCCCCGAGCTGCTCCATCACCTGGTTCAGCTCCTTGTTGATCTCGTCGATGCGCCGCTTGGCCAGCTCCACCTCCTCGGTCAGCTCGCCCTCCAGGCGCTTCTGCTCCTCCAGGGATTGTCTGGGGGCAGAAAAGGGCGTTTGGGGGGAGAAAAGGGGGGTTTGGGGTGATTTTGGGGGGCTGATCCCACACCCTCGAGATGTTTCTGCTGCTATAGGGATTGTCCGGGGGGGGAATAAAGGGGGGTTTGGGGGTGCAAAAGGGGATTTGGGGTGAGTTTTGAGGGTTTGGGGGGCTGATCCCACACCCTCGAGATGTTTCTGCTCCTCCAGGGATTGTTTGGGGAGGAAAAAAGGGGGTTTGGGGGTGAAAAAGGGGATTTGGGGGATTTGGGGTGATTCTGGGGGATTCTGTGGGGCTGATCCCACACCCTTCAGTCATTTCTGCTCCTCCAGGGATTGTCTGGGGCCACTCCAGCCCCTTGGGGACACCCTGGGGTCACGGGGGCTCAGGGGGGCTCCGGGGGGCTCGGGGACGGTCTGGGGACACGGGGGGGACCCCAGCTCACCTCGGTCTCCACCTTCTTCCTCTCCTCCAGGTCCAGCCGGTCCTGGTCGGCCTTTTGGTCGCGGTTGAACTTCTCCAGCTCCTGGGCCAGCGTGGCCGCGCGCTTGCTGGCCTCCTCCTTCAGCCGGTGGTACTTCTTCACCTGGGGGGGGACAGCCCACCTGGGGGCTCAGCTGGGGGCTCACATGGGGCAGCTCACCTGGGGCACAGCTCACCTGGGGGGGTCACCTGGGGTCAGCTCACCTGGGGGCAACCTGGGGAACAGCTCATCTGGGGGGGCTCACCTGGGGCAGCTCACCTGGGGAACAGCTCATCTGGGGGCAACCTGGGGGCAACTGGGGTCAGTTCACCTGGGGGGGGCTCACCTGGGTTGGCTCACCTGGGATCCACAGAACCCTCCTAACCTTAATTCTAACCCTTCCCAAATCCCATGGGATCAGCACACCTGGGTGGGCTCACCTGGGCCAGCTCACCTGGGTGGGCTCACCTGGAGCTCCAGAGAGCCCTTCCCAAATCCCACGGCATCACCCCATTCCTGGTTCTCCTGCAGGGTCAGGTCCCCCCCAAACCCCACCTGTCCCCCCCACACCTGGTTCTCCTGCAAGGTGAGATCTCTCCTGTGGCTCTGGCTCTCCTCCATCCCCCCCAGCCCCCAAACCCCACCTGGCCCAGCCATACCTGATTCTCCAAGGTAAGATCTCCATCCCTCTCAAGTCCCCAAATCCCACCCATACCTGGTTCTGCTCCACGGTGAGATCCCTGCCAAGCCCCCAAACCCCACCTGTCCCCCCCACACCTGGTTCTCCTCCAGGGTCAGGTCCCTCCTGTGGCTCTGGCTCTCCTCCGTCCCTCCCAAATCCCAAATCCCATGGGATCCCCCCACAACTGGTTCTCCTCCAGAGTCAGGTCTCTGCCCTGGCTCTGGCTCTCCTCCATCCCTCCCAAACCCCAAACCCCAAATCCCACCCCACACCTGGTTCTCCTTCAAGGTCAGGTCCCTCCTAGACCCCAAATCCCCAAATCCCATGGGATCCCCCCACACCTGGTTCTCCTCCAGGGTCAGGTCCCTCCCAAACCCCAAACCCCAAATCCCACCCCATACCTGGTTCTCCTCCAAGGTCAGGTCCCTCCCAAACACCAAATCCCCAAATCCCATGGGATCTCCCCAAACCTGGTTCTCCTCCAAGGTCAGGTCTCTCCTAGACCCCAAATCCCCAAATCCCACCCCATACCTGGTTCTCCTCCAGGGTCAGGGCCCTCCCAAACCCCAAATCCCGCCCCATGCCTGGTTCTCCTCCAGGGTCAGGGCCCTCCCAAACCCCAAATCCCGCCCCATACCTGGTTCTCCTCCAGGGTCAGGTCTGTCCCAGACCCCAAATCCCAAATCCCCAAATCCCACCCCACACCTGGTTCTCCTCCAGGGTCAGGTCCCTCCCAAACCCCAAATCCCCAAATCCCACCCCACACCTGGTTCTCCTCCAGGGTCAGGTCTCTGCCCTGGCTCTGGCTCTCCTCCTCCATGCGCTCCTCGAACTCCTGCCGGGATTTCTCCACGGACAGCATCTCCTTCTCCAGCTCGTCCATGTCCGCCTTGCGTTTCTTGTACTGCTTCTGGGCGTTCTGCAGCGACTTGCGCGCCGCCTCCAGCTTCTTGATCTTGTGCGACGTGTTCTCCTTGGCCTTGATGTACTGCGGCCGCTTCTGGTTCAGCTCCGCGTCCTTCTCCCTGCCGACCACACGAGGGCTGGGACCTGGGCCTGGACTGGGGCCTGCTTTGGGAGTTTGGGCCGGGTTTTGGGCCTGCTTTGGGAGTATGGGCCTAGCTTTGGGGTCTGGTTTGGGAGTTTGGGCCGGGCTTTGGGCCTGGTTTGGGAGTTTGGGCCTGGTTTTGGGTGTGGCTTTGGGCCTGGTTTGGGGCTTTGGGCCTGGCTTTGGGCCTGGTTTGGGAGTTTGGGCCTGGTTTTGGGCCTGGTTTTGGGGTTTGGGCCTGGCTTTGGGCCTGGCTTGGGAGTTTGAGCCTGGCTTTGGGCCTGGCTTTGGGCCTGGTTTTGGGAGTTTGGCCCTGGCTTTGGGGTTTGGGCGTGGCTTTGGGCCTGGCTTGGGAGTTTGGGCCGGGCTTTGGGAGTTTGGGCCTGGCTTTGGGCCTGGTTTGGGAGTTTGGGCCTGGCTTTGGGACTTGGGCCTGAATTGGGGTTTGGGCCTGGTTTTGGGCTTTGGGCCTGGTTTGGGAGTTTGGACCTGGTTTTTGGCCTGGTTTTGGGCTTTGGGCCTGGCTTTGGGGTTTGGGCCAGGCTTCAGGCTTTGGGCCTGGTTTTCGGCCTGGCTTTGGGTCCTGTGCCCGATTTTGGGGTTTGGCCCGGTTTTGAGATCTGTGTTCAGTTTTGGGATCTGTGCCCAGTTCTGGGATCTGGGCCTAGTTTTGGGATCTGTGCTCAGCTTTGGGATCTGTGCTCAGTTCTGGGATCTGTGCCTGGTTTTGGGATCTGTGCTCAGTTGTGGGATCTGTGCTCAGTTTTGGGATCTGTGCTCAGTTTTGGGGTTTGTGCCCGGCCTCGTTGTCTGTGCCTGGTTTTGGGGTTTCTGCCCAGTTTTGGGTTCTGTGCCCAGCTTTGGGGTTTGGGCCTGGCTTTGGGCCCGGTTTTGGGGTCTGGGCCCGGTTTTGGGGTTTGGTGCATCCTTCCCTTCCCACTGGAGCCCTTCCCCCATGGAGACAGGCTGGGAAAGCTGGGCTTGTCCAGCTTGGAACCCCCTGGTCTGTGAAGGTGTCCTCAAACCTGGTTTTTAAACATTCCCCCCCAAACAATTCCAGGGTTTTGGAGCCCCTCTGCTGCAGAGACAGGCTGGGAAAGCTGGGCTTGTCCCGCTTGGAACCACCTGGGGGGGAATTTAAACCTGGTTTTTAAACATTCCCCCCCAAACAATTCCAGGGTTTTCCCACCCAAACAATTCCAGGGTTTTGGAGCCCCTCTGCTACAGAGACAGGCTGGGAAAGCTGGGCTTGTCCAGCTTGGAACCACCTGGTCTGGGAAGGTGTCCTTGCCCACGGAACCAGAGTTTAAACCTGTTTTTTAAATATTCTCACCCAAATAATTCCAGGTTTTGGAACCAGAATTCAAACCTGGTTTTTAAATATTCCCACCCAAACAATTCCAGATTTTGGAGCCCCCCTGTCATGGAGACAGGCTGGGAAAGCTGGGATTGGGTGAGATTTGGAACCCCCTGGTCTGTGAAGGTCCCTGCTTTTGGAACCAGAATTCAAACCTGGTTTTTAAATATTCCCACCCAAACAATTCCAGATTTTGGAGCCCCCCTGTCATGGAGACAGGCTGGGAAAGCTGGGATTGGGTGAGATTTGGAACCCCCTGGTCTGTGAAGGTCCCTGCCCACGGAACCAGAATTCAAACCTGGTTTTTAAATATTCCCACCCAAACAATTCCAGGTTTTCCCACCCAAATAATTCCAGGTTTTCCCACCCAAACAATTCCAGGGTTTTGGAGCCCCTCTGCTACAGAGACAGGCTGGGAAAGCTGGGCTTGTCCAGCTTGGAACCACCTGGGTGGGAATTTAAACCTGGTTTTTAAACATTCCCACCCCAACCATCCCAGCTTTTCCCACCCAAACCATTCCAGCTTTTCCCACCCCAACCACTCCAGCTTTTCCCACCCAAACCACCCCCGTTTTCGGGCTCTCCCCCCCCCAGGCCCAGGCTGCTCACTTGATCTCCTTCTCGATCTGCTGCTGCTCCCTCATCATCTTGCCCAGCTCCTTCTTGCGGTCCTTGAGCTCGTCCTCCACCCTGTCCATCCTCTTCTTGTCCTTGTCGATCTCGCGGTTCTTCAGCCCCAGCTCCTTGTTGAGCTTCTCGATCTCGGCCTCGTTGTGGAACAGTTTGAAGAGCTGCAGCTGCACCTGGGCCCGAACCACCTCGTCCTTGAGCCGCTGGTACCGGTCAGCCTGCGGGGCACGGGCGGTCAGCTGGGCTGGGGCTGGCTAGGCCAGGCTCTGCCAGGAGCTGCTCAAAGCTGGGCTGGGGCTGGCTAGGCCAGGCTCTGCCAGGAGCTGCTCAAAGCTGGGCTGGGGCTGGGCAGGCCAGGCTCTGCCCAGGAGCTGCTCAAAGCTGGGCTGGGGCTGGCTAGGCCAGGCTCTGCCCAGGAGCTGCTCAAAGCAGGGTCTGGCTTTGCCCAGGAGCTGCTCAAAGCTGGGCTCGGGCTGGGCTAGGCCTGGCTCTGCCAGGAGCTGCTCAAAGCTGGGCTGGGGCTGGGCTAGGCCAGGCTCTGCCAGGAGCGGCTCAAAGCTGGGCTGGGGCTGGGCTAGGCCAGGCTCTGCCAGGAGCGGCTCAAAGCTGGGCTGGGGCTGGGCTAGGCCAGGCTCTGCCAGGAGCGGCTCAAAGCTGGGCTGGGGCTGGGCTAGGCCAGGCTCTGCCAGGAGCGGCTCAAAGCTGGGCTGGGGCTGGGCTAGGCCAGGCTCTGCCAGGAGCGGCTCAAAGCTGGGCTGGGGCTGGGCTAGGCCAGGCTCTGCCAGGAGCGGCTCAAAGCTGGGCTGGGGCTGGGCTAGGCCAGGCTCTGCCAGGAGCGGCTCAAAGCTGGGCTGGGGCTGGGCTAGGCCAGGCTCTGCCAGGAGCGGCTCAAAGCTGGGCTGGGGCTGGGCTAGGCCAGGCTCTGCCAGGAGCGGCTCAAAGCTGGGCTGGGGCTGGGCTAGGCCAGGCTCTGCCAGGAGCGGCTCAAAGCTGGGCTGGGGCTGGGCTAGGCCAGGCTCTGCCAGGAGCGGCTCAAAGCTGGGCTGGGGCTGGGCTAGGCCAGGCTCTGCCAGGAGCGGCTCAAAGCTGGGCTGGGGCTGGGCTAGGCCAGGCTCTGCCAGGAGCGGCTCAAAGCTGGGCTGGGGCTGGGCTAGGCCAGGCTCTGCCAGGAGCGGCTCAAAGCTGGGCTGGGGCTGGGCTAGGCCAGGCTCTGCCAGGAGCGGCTCAAAGCTGGGCTGGGGCTGGGCTAGGCCAGGCTCTGCCAGGAGCGGCTCAAAGCTGGGCTGGGGCTGGGCTAGGCCAGGCTCTGCCAGGAGCGGCTCAAAGCTGGGCTGGGGCTGGGCTAGGCCAGGCTCTGCCAGGAGCGGCTCAAAGCTGGGCTGGGGCTGGGCTAGGCCAGGCTCTGCCAGGAGCGGCTCAAAGCTGGGCTGGGGCTGGGCTAGGCCAGGCTCTGCCAGGAGCGGCTCAAAGCTGGGCTGGGGCTGGGCTAGGCCAGGCTCTGCCAGGAGCGGCTCAAAGCTGGGCTGGGGCTGGGCTAGGCCAGGCTCTGCCAGGAGCGGCTCAAAGCTGGGCTGGGGCTGGGCTAGGCCAGGCTCTGCCAGGAGCGGCTCAAAGCTGGGCTGGGGCTGGGCTAGGCCAGGCTCTGCCAGGAGCGGCTCAAAGCTGGGCTGGGGCTGGGCTAGGCCAGGCTCTGCCAGGAGCGGCTCAAAGCTGGGCTGGGGCTGGGCTAGGCCAGGCTCTGCCAGGAGCGGCTCAAAGCTGGGCTGGGGCTGGGCTAGGCCAGGCTCTGCCAGGAGCGGCTCAAAGCTGGGCTGGGGCTGGGCTAGGCCAGGCTCTGCCAGGAGCGGCTCAAAGCTGGGCTGGGGCTGGGCTAGGCCAGGCTCTGCCAGGAGCGGCTCAAAGCTGGGCTGGGGCTGGGCTAGGCCAGGCTCTGCCAGGAGCGGCTCAAAGCTGGGCTGGGGCTGGGCTAGGCCAGGCTCTGCCAGGAGCGGCTCAAAGCTGGGCTGGGGCTGGGCTAGGCCAGGCTCTGCCAGGAGCGGCTCAAAGCTGGGCTGGGGCTGGGCTAGGCCAGGCTCTGCCAGGAGCGGCTCAAAGCTGGGCTGGGGCTGGGCTAGGCCTGGCTCTGCCCAGGAGCTTCTGGAGCTCAGGCTCTGTCCAGACCCTTCCCAGCATTCCCAAAACCCTCCTTTCCCAGAATTCCCAGCCTTCTCAAAACTCACTTTTCCCAAGAATTCCCAGCCTTCCCAAACCCCTCAAGCCTTCCCAGCCCCTTTTTTCCCACATTCCCAGCCTTTCCCACCTCCTCCTTCTCCTGCCTGGCAGCACAAAATCCTTGTTTCCCACGAATCCAACCATTCCCAAACCTTCTGTCCTGGGGCTCTGAGCATTCCCAAACCCCTCTTTTCCCAGAATTCCCAGCCTTCCCAAACCCCTTTTTCCCCAGGATTCTGAGCATTCCCCAAACCTGTTTTCCCCAAGAATCCAACCATTCCCAAAACCCCATTTCTCAAAAATTCCCAGCCTTCCAAAACCCCATTTTCCCAAGAATTCCCAGCCTTCCCAAACCCCTCAAGCCTTCCCAGCCCCTTTTTTCCCACATTCCCAGCCTTTCCCACCTCCTCCTTCTCCTGCCTGGCAGCACAAAATCCTTGTTTCCCACGAATCCAACCATTCCCAAACCTTCTGTCCTGGGGCTCTGAGCATTCCCAAACCCCTCTTTTCCCAGAATTCCCAGCCTTCCCAAACCCCTTTTTTCTCAGGATTCTGAGCATTCCCCAAACCTGTTTTCCCCAAGAATCCAACCATTCCCAAAACCCCATTTCTCAAGAATTCCCAGCCTTCCCAAACCCTCTTTCCCCAGATTTCCAAGCCTTCTCAAAACCCCATTTCCCCAGAATTCCCAGCTTTCCTTTTCCCAAGAATTCCCAGCCTTCCCAAATCCATCTTTCCCCAGATTTCCAAGCCTTCTCAAAACCCCATTTCCCCAGAATTCCCAGCTTTCCCAAAGCCTCTTTCCCCAGGAATCCAAGCATTCCAAACCCCTCTTTTCCCAGAATTCTGAGCATTCCCAACCCCCTTTTTTCCTGGGACTCTGAGAAACCTGTTTTCCCCAAGAATCCAACCATTCCCAAAACCCCATTTCTCAAGAATTCCCAGCCTTCCCAAACCCTCTTTCCCCAGATTTCCAAGCCTTCTCAAAACCCCATTTCCCCAGAATTCCCAGCTTTCCCAAAGCCTCTTTCCCCAGGAATCCAAGCATTCCAAACCCCTCTTTTCCCAGAATTCTGAGCATTCCCAACACCCTTTTTTCCCAGGAATCCAGCCATTCCCAAACCTCTCTTTTCCCAGAATTCCCAGCCTTCCCAAACGCCTCTTTCCCAAGATTTCCAAGCCTTCCCAAACCCCACTTCCCCAGAATTCCCAGCCTTCCCAAACCCCCATTTTCCCAGGATTTCCAGGCATTCCCAAATCCTTTCTTCCTCATGATTTTGAGCATTCCCAAACCCTTTTCCCCAGGATTCTGAGCATTCCCAAACCCCTCTTCTCCCAGAATTCCCAGCCTTCCCAAACCCCATTTCCACAAGATTTCCCAGCCTTCCCAAACTTCTCTTTGCCCAGGCTTCTGAGCATTCCCCAAACTTGTTTTTCCCATGAATCTAACCACTTCCCAACCCCCTTTTTTCCCGACATTCCCAGCCTTTCCCACCTCCTCCTTCTCCAGCTTGGCCTCCTTGCACTCAGCAGCACAAAATCTTTGTTTCCCATTAATCCAACCCCGTTTTTTCCCGACATTCCCAGCCTTTCCCACCTCCTCCTTCTCCTGCTTGGCCTCCTTGCGCTCGGCAGCGATGTTCTTCTTGCGGTGGTAGTTGAACTGCGTGTCCTCCTACCTCCTCCTTCTCCAGCTTGGCCTCCTTGCACTCAGCAGCACAAAATCTTTGTTTCCCATTAATCCAACCCCGTTTTTTCCCGACATTCCCAGCCTTTCCCACCTCCTCCTTCTCCAGCTTGGCCTCCTTGCACTCAGCAGCACAAAATCTTTGTTTCCCATTACTCCAACCCCGTTTTTTCCCGACATTCCTAGCCTTTCCCACCTCCTCCTTCTCCTGCTTGGCCTCCTTGCGCTCGGCAGCGATGTTCTTCTTGCGGTGGTAGTTGAACTGCGTGTCCTCCTCGGCCTTGACCATCTCCTTCTTGCGCTTGTCGTACTCGGGGGCGAGCTCCCCCGAGCGGCTGATCTCCTCAAACAGGGCCGTGCGCTCCTTGGGGTTCTTCATGGCGATGGACTCCACTGCTCCCTGAAAAACGGGGGCAGAAAGGGTCCTAAATCCCTGAGAATGATCCCTAAATTCCTGCAGGGTCAGGGATCCCTAAATCCCTGAGAGGGATCCTTAAATCCCTGGGGATCTCCTCAAACAGAGCTGTGCACTCCTTGGGGTTCTTCATGGCGATGGACTCCACTGCTCCCTGAGGAACAGGGGCAGAAATGATCCTAAATCCTGTGAGAAACGGCCCTAAATCCCTGAGAATGATCCCTAAATCCTGTCAGAAATGGTCCTACATCCCTGCAGGGTCAGGGATCCCTAAATCCATGAGAGGGATCCCTAAATCCCTGGGGATCTCCTCAAAGAGAGCCGTGCGCTCCTTGGGGTTCTTCATGGCGATGGACAGCACTCGTCCCTGAAAAATGGGGGCAGAAATGATCCTAAATTTTGTTAGAGGGGTTCTTAAACCCCTGAGAATGATCCTTAAATCCTGTTGGAAGGGTTCCTAAATCCCTGAGAATGATCCCTAAATCCCTGCAGGGCCAGGGGTCCCTGAATCCCTGGGGATCTCCTCAAACAGGGCCGTGCTCTCCTGGGGGCTCTTCATGGCGATGGCTGTCATGAAAAAATGGGAGTCAGAGAGCCCCAAAATCCCACAGGTGGTGCCAGGAGTGTTCCCAAATCCCCAAATCCTGCCAGGAGGGTTTCCAAATCCCCAAGTCCTGCCAGGAGGGTTCCCAAATCCTGCCAGGAGGGTTCCCAAATCCCCAAATCCTGCCAGGAGGGTGCCCAAATCCCCAAATCCTGCCAGGAGGGTGCCCAAATCCTGCCAGGAGGGTTCCCAAATCCCCAAATCCTGCCAGGAGTGTTCCCAAATCCCCAAATCCTGCCAGGAGGGTTCCCAAATCCCCAAATCCCGACAGGGGTGGCAGATGCCAACAGAGAGGGGCAGTTCCAGGAGCAGCCGATCCCAAAGAGCCCCAGGAGCTCCTGTGGGTCCTTCACGGGAAAGGGCTCAGGGGGTTCCTAAATCCCATGGGGGGTCCCCAAATCCTTGGGGGACTTTGGGAGATCCCTGTGGGGAGGGGGATGGGGGAGACCCTCCCCCAAATCAATGTGGAGGGGTCTGGGGTCTCCCTCAGGGAAGGGGAGGGACTGACCCCCCTCCCTCATAATCTCAAGATTCTTTTTGGAGTCAGGAGAGTTCCCAAATCCCCAGGGGGGGTTCCCAAATCCTCACGGGGTGTCCCCAAATCCTCATGGGGTGTCCCCAAATCCTCATGGAGGGGTCCCCAGATCCTCATGGGGTGTCCCCAGATCCTCATGGGGTGTCCCCAAATCCTCACGGGGTGTCCCCAAATCCTCATGGTGGGGTCCCCAAATCCCCAGGGGGGATCCCCAAATCCTCATGGGGGGATCCCCAAATCCTCATGGGGTGTCCCCAAATCCCCACAGGGGGCTGGGGGATCCCTTTGGGGTGGGGGAATGAGGGCATTCTCCCCCAAAAACCATCCTGGGAGCCCCCAGTTCCTGGGAGCACAAAAACCTCCCCACTCTGCTCCCCCTGAACCTACACAAAGCCCCCCAAAACCCCCTCCAAACCTCCCCAGAAGCCCCAAATCACCCCCAAAAAACCCCAAAACCCCCCCAAACCCCACCCCACCTGGAAGACGAGGAAGTTCCTGGCCTTGATGAGGATGCCCAACTTCTCCAGCTCCTCGCTGTACTCGCTCAGCTGCACCACGCGGTTGTTGATCTTGTACTCGGAGGAGCTGCCTGGCATGGGGGATCTGGGGGGTCAGGGGGATCCCCCAAACCCTAAGCACCCCCAAAGTGTGCCCCCCAAATCCTAAACACCCCAAAATGTGCCTCACAAACACTAAACTGTGCCCCCCACAACTCTGAGACCCCCAAAATGTGCCCCCTTTGCACCCACACTGACACAGGTAAAGGTGTGGCCTTGGCCCCCTCCTCAGAGCTGCCTGGCATGGGGGATTTGGGGGGTCAGGGGGATCCCCCAAATCCTAAACACCCCCAAAATGTGCCCCCCAAATCCTAAACACCCCAAAATATGCCCCACAAACACTAAACTGTGCCCCCCACAACTCTGTGACCCCCAAAATGTGCCCCCTTAGCACCCACACTGAGACTCCTCCTCCTCAGAGCTGCCTGTGCTGCGGGGTTTGGGGGGATTTGGGGGATCAGAGGGATCCCCCAAATCCTAAACACCCCAAAATGTGCCTCACAAACACTAAACTGTGCCCCCCACAAGTGTGAGACCCCCAAAATGTGCCCCCTTTGCACCCACACTGACACAGGTAAAGGTGTGGCCTTGGCCCCCTCCTGCCTGTGCTGGGGGTTTGGGGGGATTTTGGAGGATTATGGGGCTCCCCCAAATCCTAAGCACCCCAAAATGTGCCCCCCAAAACCTAAACACCCCAAAATGTGCCCCCCAAACCCTAAACACCCCAAAATGTGCCCCCCAAACCCTAAACACTCCAAAATGTGCCCCCAAACACACTCCAGAACAGCCCTAAAACCCCCAGAAATGCCCCAAATGCCTGGAATTGCCCCAAACCCCAGAAATGCCCCCAAACCCCCACCCTAAACCAGGCCCAAAACCCCTGCAATTGCCCCCAAGCCCCCCCCAAAAACCCCAGAAATGCCCCCCAACCCCCCACAAAAACCCCCAC